TGACTGATATATATAGAGAAACGACAGTGGGCATTTACAGGTCTACAATTTTTTAAAATTGCAACCAAATATATAAGCTAAAGGACCCTCTCACGAAATTAGCAATGTATTGTCACGAAATTACCCATGATATCACGAAATAACCACTTGTACGCATAAAATGCAAAAAAGAAAAAAAAACCACAAAACATTTTGTGAAAGTCATTTTATCAATACATAATCTACTATTGTTTTTACTACTTTCAAAGAAATTTAAGGATGCGTGTTGAGAATTTTAAACAGACGATTATCTTAGTATTTTGTTTTTCCTTCTTGAAACATTTAATGATTAAAAGAATGGAACACTTACACAAACAAATATATTTATTTCATTACTATAGTCAGCTAAAGTAGAATACATTTACTTATTCTCTTATTATTACTATATTTACTTATTCTCTTATGTATTAAATTACTGAATTTATTTAAATTTTAATATCTATGTTTTTTCGAGAAAAAAGACACCAAAACTTTTATTTTTTTAAAACTTTTATTTTTTTTTAAATTTTTATTATAATTAAATTTCTTTCTCTGTTTATGAATTGAGCATTACATTATTTTAGCTAAATTTTTCTTCAATTTTGAAGCAATTTTATATGATTATTTATTTATTTATTATATTTTCTAATATTTCATGACTTCTAAAACAAGGAGAGACTATGTCTTATTGGGTTGCAATTTTCAAATTGTAGACCTATACATTCCCACTGTCCGTTTGTCCTTTGTTAATCTAGAGAACGGAGTTACATGAATATCGGATATAGAAAGTTCAGTGACCGTAGGCCCCCGATTAATATTCGTATTTAATGTCGTTTCTATTATTGTTAGATTTATTTATCATAGTATATTATAATAACTATTGATATAACTTTTTATTTGATAAAAATTGCCAGGAATATATTAAATTTGAAAATTTTATTCGTTTGAGTAAACTGTCATTTTATAACTGTTAGAAAAACAATCTCAATTGTAAGAAGAAAATTGGAAACACTGCATTGTGTATTGTATTGTATGATAAAACACTGTACTGTATAGTGTTTTATCATATATCACAATACACAATACAGTGTTTCAGGAGACTAGTTTTATCTTAAATTTACAAAATATTGATAGTAAGTGAATTATTCTTTGATATTTCAATAAACTAAGAATTGGAGATATATTTAAACAATCAGTTATTATTTTATTGTATTGTGCGTTTAAATTTCCTTAGCTATTTAGACATTCTTAGCTTTTGCTGCGAAATTCTAGACGTATCAAACATAAGGACTATTTAATAATTAATTATCGATTAGAGAAATAAAATAATATGTATAACTTACAAATAATGTTATCTGAATATATCTTGAATATCCACCACACTTTTTACATCCAAAATGAAGTACGACAAAATAACCAATATATCACGAAATTACTACCTGAGATGCCATCAAAATATCGTCAATGTGAAAAATATAAATTTTTTAAAGTCAAGGATGGAAAGCGTTTAATATATCAGCAACTATTTATTGTTACGTCGTCACAATGCCGGGCTGCAATTTTTAATTTATTTAATTTAAAATAAATGCTCTACACCTCAAATTAATAGTGGCTTGCTCCTGTACATCATACTTTTCCTGTTATCAAGCGATTGTACAGTACATCATAACTTTCCTATTATCAACCTTTTATACATCATACTTCCTGTTATCAAACTATTGTACAACATACTTTTCGTGTTATCAAGCTATTATACATCATACTTTCCTGTTAGCAATTGAGTCGTCTATCTAACTTTTTTCAGGAGAAAAATTTCAAATTGAAATAACGTAACTTTCGGTTTGTATCGGAAATTATTATATTAAAGTTAATTGCGGGGTTTCTGCCCCTAACCTTTCTATGTCTTGTCTCGTCTTTCATCTATCCAACTCTGTTCTCGAGATTAAGGACAGACAAACAGACTGACTGATATATATAGAGAAACGACAGTGGGCATTTACAGGTCTACAATTTTTTAAAATTGCAACCAAATATATAAGCTAAAGGACCCTCTCACGAAATTAGCAATGTAGGGGAGATCGGGGCAACTTCGGCAAGCGGGGCAAGTTTGTCAAGCGCTTTTTTTAAAAAACAAATTAAAAGGAGACTTTGGTTATAGGTTACGCAGTTGAGTTTTATTAGTGGCTTGTTGAGTGTAGTGTTTTTATTGTTCTCCAACAAGCGTAGTTGAATTATCAAGCAAATTTTCATTTTCGTTCAATTCCATATAATATTTTTTTTTCCATTTATATTGAATTGGCAGGTTTTGTTATAATTCCATGATAACGAAAGTTACTTTTCCTGTTAGAAGGATGTAACTTCAACTTATTCACGTGGCCAGATCGTGGCTTGGCATTCTGTTCTCAGGGTTGTACTTAATGTTTCGAAATCATGACTAGCGGGGTAAGATCGGCAACATAAAGCCACATTAGAAGCAAAGGATAAAAATCAAACAGATGATAAATGAAAACATGTTTGCATTTGTTATTCATGTATATATGTCTTTGAACTTGCATTTCGTTGTAATAATATTAAATGGGTGTTGGATTTGTATTTCTTTGTTTTAATAGTGAATTCCAACTTATACATTGTTAATAACATAATTTTATATACGTGCCTATCTTGCCCCATTACTGTTGCCCCTATACCAGGGGCAACTTTAATAAAAATAATTAAAATAATTACAACTTTACAAAAAGAGAGAAGTTGCCGATCTTGCCCCTATACCCGGGGCAACTTCGTCAATTTCTCTCTTCTTGTAAAGTTGTAATTATTTTAATTATTTTTATTTCCAAACTGATTTTAAGCAGTTCTATAGTAAGGTAACATTCCAATAGACAATATGTAAAGCTTTTTTTTCAGTTTACAGCAGTATTTATTACACAAAATTTAAGTAAAGCTTAACATGCCGATCTTGCCCCGATCTCCCCTATTATCACGAAATTACCCATGATATCACGAAATAACCACTTGTACGCAACATAAAAAATATACTCCTAAAAAACTAAGATATAAATATATTCATAATGACAAAAAGCCATGCTGTTATCTTGAGAGTATGATCTCTTTAATAGTATAGTTAACATGTCAATTTACGAAATACACTATATGTCCGATAATTAAAGAATAATTTATTTTAGCATAAATTTACCAATGTTTACCCTACCAGATAAAATATTAAAAAATATCTTCAAATATTACATCAGATAGTGTTTTAAAATACTTTTTAAAAATTTCATTTTATAGTCGAATTATATATTTTTATTACTTTAAGAATTTCACAATTTAAATGATTTAACACGTTTAAAATTTCAAAGTATAATAAAAAAAACAAATAAATATTTAATATATCCTTACATTGCTGTCTTAAAAAATACGCAATAATTTTTAGTCGAATCTAATTAATTTTCACTTGATTATTTTGAATTATTGACTAATTCGAATCCTTTCTTGTTCCCCTTTAAACCGTATTTAATTTAGCAACGAATTGCTTAACTTTTCCGGTAATATTTAAAATTTCGTGTGTGGCGCCATTTTTTATGACGATATTTTATTCTTAAAAACTTTTTATATTTTTAACTATTATAAAGTGGCAAAAAGCTCAATTTTGAGGATAGGAATGGGTTTTATAAAAGTTGCGAATATTAATAACGAGTAAAATCGTCATTTAGTCAGACCCTACTCGATATGACACGATCCCCTTTATCTTCCCACTCCGTCGACCTTTAATAATCAAAATTTAACAGCATCAATCGCTCTAATAAACAAACGTTCCTGAAAAATTTCAGAAAGTTTCGACAAAAAGTACAGGAACTATTAAGCTTTAAAGATGGTGAACAAAATCATACCTTGTTTTGCTAGATATGATATATGTAAAAGTACAGTATATAAATTGAATCTCTAAAATAAAACCTGATATAGTTTGTAAATGTGCTCCTAGAATCAAGAATTTGAAAAGACTTTATTGAGTGGTTTTGTTAAACAATCATAATTTAAACGTATAATGATGTAATACAGTACCACATTCACTATTAATAATGTAAACCAAAAGAGCTAAAGAAAAGGAAATGTCGTTAATTTGATTTTCTTTCGTTATGACATAAATTTGACATTGCGATTTGTTGTGTTTGGTATTGAACAGTATCTTAAGAACAGATACAAGAATAGAATGACAGATCATTCAGAATATTCAGTGAAGTTATATGAATGAATCATTAATGAAGAGATTCGTTTAAGCACAGTTTAAAAACTAGGATAGTGTTATTTTATGCTCAAGTACAAAAATAAAATGTTACATAAACAGTAGTTAGAGTTGCCTAATGTCCCGATTTTTTCCACCTTCCATCTAACGATTGGAGTATTCTAAAAACTGTTCCTACAACGAAGTATCTTTGTCTTTATCTATACCTTCAGAACCCTTCCTTCAACTGAAAGAGCTTATTTAGAATTCTAAATAAGCTCTTTTTTTAAAAATTCATTCATCTTTCATCTTTTTACCATCGGCCGACCGAAGAGAGAAGGCACTAAAATGTAGATTGTTGCAAAATTTGCGGCATCAGCACACCCCTCACAAAAGTTGCACGTGTCTATGCGTATGCCAGCGTACCAACTCCTTGGAGCTTGTATAAAGATTGCGGCTTATCAGCTTAAAGAACGATACTACAGTAGCTCTTTACGCATTGATACGTAATTTATTTTAAAATTTAAACATTTTAAAAATTATGGTGTGTCAGGAATTCAAAGGATGTCGCTAATCCAAAAAGATTAGGAAACACTGGTGTATTATAATAAATTAATCTAGTAATAGGATACACTATACATAAATGTTACTATTCTCATAGTACGATAAATTAAACTACTTTATAATCATTATGAAAAAATGTTAAAATAAATTTTTCACTTTAAATTTCATATTTGATTTAATAAAGTATATTTTTTTACAGATAAGTAAAAAAAAATTATCTAAAAGAATACTCAAAATGAAACTTGATTGTTTAAGAAGATGTCTCTCATTCGTCTTCAGAAAATTAGGACGGATCATCGGTCAACATCCTTATTATTTTATAATAATCCCAGTTTTACTCTCCACTTCGCTGTCGGTATTTATTAATAAACTGAAATCTAGTAAAAGTATGGATGAACTTTTAACGGCCAATGAAGGTAAATTTTATAATACGATGAAATTCGTAAAAAAGACGTTTTATTTTAATACTTCTGAGTTTGTCGATCAAATGAGATTAGTTCGCATACCAAAATCTGTATATGTGTTGTTTTTAAAGAAAGGGGGTGGTAACATGCTGGAAAAAGATATTTTACTAGAGCTAAAACTGGCCGACGAAATAATAAAAAATACTACAATTCGTTACGAAAATCAAGAAATCGGATATTCCGAAATTTGCGGGATAGTAAATGGTAAATGCTACGAAAATCCTATTCTGAAGTTGAATATAGATGATATTGTTACTAAAAGAAAAAGATTCAAATATCCTGTTGAGATGGACCCAGTTACGTATTCCTACGAAATTTACTGTTTAAATGTAGGCGGAGTCACCGTAGACAAAAATGATTTCGTAGAAAGAGCCGAAGCATTAGGTTTAATGTATTTTGCTGATTATAGCTCCGAAGAAAAAATCCAATGGATCGAAGAATGGAAACTTGCGGCGTACAAAAAAATTCAAAATTATCATTTTAAACATATTAAATCTTATAGCCATTATTTCTGGGAGTCTGAAAATTACGTTAAGGTTCTATTTGAGACCACAAAACCGATGATAGGCGGTGTTATGGGTTTTGTTTCTGTATTCGCCGTGATAACCTGCATGAGTAATAGCTGGATAAGAAGCAAACCTATGTTGGGAGTTGCGAGTGTTATATCAGCTGGTCTAGCGATTGCTTCTTCATTCGGATTGATGGCGGCTTTCGGTATGGATTACTCATATTGGAACACCACTATCCCTTTTCTAGTTATCGGTAAGTCATGTCATATTATTTATACAATAATAATAAATTGACAATTTAATAAAAGATTATATCTTGTAGTAACCGAAATAGATGATGCATTTGTATTAATTGCCTGTTGGAGAATTACTAATCCTCAAGATAAAGTGCATAAACGGATGGAGGATGCGTTCTCGGAAGCAGGAGTTTCTATAACTTTAACTTCTATTACAAATATATTATCGTATTGCATCGGGTTGTTGACTGCCTTTCCTCTAATTAGATTATTTTGCATCTATTCTGCAACTTGTATATTTTTCACTTTTCTGTATCAAGTTACATTTTTCGGTGGATGTATGGCGTTAAGTGGGTACAACGAAGAAAAGAGTCTTCAAAATCTCAAGTTTACTGGTAACTATAAGATTTTTATTTGATATTAAATTTCTTATTCTGTTAAAAATATCTAATTACTTTCCAGAAAAATATTTCATTACGTCATATTTTGTTTTGTTTCTAGTTGTCCAGTAAAAAATGCAATTTTGTAAAAGATCTATGTTGTGGAACAGTATTACAATTCTTCCTATATCTGATTAATTGCAATTTAATAACATTATATAGTGATTTTTTATATTCCGTCGGCTATTTTAATTAGAGTAATTTATTTATTATGCATTTACTTCAATTTATTCTTATATAGTAAGCTAAAAAAGTATTTTATAAATGAAAAATTTATGTAATAAATTAAATAATATAGAAAAGTTATAGTCAATAATAGATTAGATGTAACATATGAAAGATCTATCTTAAATAAAAAAATAAGGGGGTGGCTTGTTCCGGATATGTTACGTCTCGCCCCTCACCATCCAGCCATCCCATAGTGGGCCTGGCCGAACTTATGATAAATATGATTAAAAGGCTCTCTTAATGCCACAGTTTTTGTTTTTGTTTTTATTTTTGGCTATTTTGAGTAAAAGTATTGCTTTCACCCTTTTTACCCTAATTTAGTTTTTCTCACTTATACTTTATTTCAGTCATACAAGCAACATATACAGTACATGAAATTTTTAATTAGTGCGCTATTTTCTAGGAAAAAGTCTAACTTCTTCAATCCAAATTTCTAAATGCAACAAAATATATCCGAGATACAATGCAACTAATATTACTTTTTTAAAAATAGAATTATTATTTATACGTTAAAAATAACATTGTTTTAGTCACATCCGAGTTTTAGTTTTAGTAATCTAAAACTATACTAGTTGTTGACCTGCAATATATATCCCCACTGTCGTCTGTCTGACCCTCGTTAATATCGAGAATGGAGTTAGATAGATGAAAGTCGAGATCAGATAGGGAAAGCTTAAAAGCAGGAGGCACCAATTAACTATAATATCTACAGATAATTAACTATAACTATAATTATCCATAGATATTATAGTTAATTGGGGCCTCCGGCTTTTAAGCTTTCCATATCTGGTGTTGACTTTTATCTATCTACCTGTTCTCATGATTAAGTAAGGACAGACATGCAGACGGATGCCAAGGAATTTATAGATCTGAAATTTAAAAATTGAAACTTATGAACAGAAAAACATAAAAAACGATTAAGCGGTTGTTCTCAAATGTTTTCTAATTATAGCGTTTATATTAATAGTTCTTTTATTTATAAAAGTTAGATGATATAATTTAATTAGATAGAATATTAATCCTCAAGTCAAATCTATAATTTACTCAAAACAATATAGAGGCAAAAAATTATGCAAATTAAAAGTATAAAAATAGACTTAAGCGACAATTACTATAATAAGCAGTAAAAATCTATTTAATTCTCTTCGCTCCGCACAGAATAAATTTCAATTTTATAGCAACCTAGTTCATAAATATCAATACAACAATTTCTCTATAGTCTTTATATTCTAATTAACAACTTTCCATCTAATAATTCAAATATTTGGCTTCAACTTCTGTTACATAATGTTTTAAAGATATTGATATAGTTATTATCTTAATAGATTAATCTACTAGATTAATTTAAAGCATTGAATATTAAATTTTTATTTTATTTTTTGCAGCATCTCTGGAAAACACTAGCACTCTCCACGAAAGTTTAAAGGAAGAACCTATCATGAAGTTTTTTAGAGATAAACTAGGAACATTTATATCGAATCCAATATCAAAAATGATTATCATTACATTGTATTTTCTTAATTTATCATTTGGTATTTGGGGAGCATATTCTATTAGAAATGGTTTAGATTTGAAGATTTTATATCAGGAGGATTCACCCATAACGCACACAACTCTAACTCTTTATAAGTATTTTACACACCATCCTTTTGCTTTTCAAATAATTATCAACAAAACGTTAGATTATTCGAACACAAAAGTTCAAGAATCAGTAGAAGCTCTTCTACGAAAATTTGAATCTCATCCACACGTTGCAGATACACGTTTTACAGCTTCTTGGTTAAAATATTATAAAGATTTTCAAAGCCATCCTATTGCCAAGTATTCTTTGAGTGGATACAATATGTCAGTCAAGCAAGACTTTATCGATGGACTGCGCTATGTATTCTTTAGGTTCAAAGCTGCTGAGCATTTTTCCAACGATGTTATCTTTACTGACGATGGATCCGAAATATCGTGCAGCAGATTTTTTGTTTTAGCTAAAGACATAGCGGGTAGGGAAAACGAAATAAAAATATTAAAAGAGTTGTGGGAGATTGCCGAAGATTCGCCATTTCCAGTTTTGGTGCATTGCATGTTATCGGATATGATCGAGCAGGGAGTAATTATTGCTCGAACGGTTTACGAATTATTTTGGATCACGGCAATTTTGATAATTTTTCTATTTCTCTTGTTTGTACCTAAAGGAATTTGTGCATTTTTAGTTTCCATTTCAGTTATTTCTACCATGATCGAAACTTTAGGATATATGTCATTTTGGGGAGTCAATCTCGATGTTGTCTCAGCTATGAGTCTTATTCTCTGTGTGGGATTCTGTTTAAATTATCCAGCTCATATATCTTACGCGTACGTCACGTCAACGTGCAAAAGTCCAAATGAAAAATTGAAAGATTCTTTATATCGTATTGGTTTTCCAATATTACAAGGATCTTTATCCACTATCTTAGGTATATTTTTTATATTCAAACAGGAATATGGATTTTTCACATTTGTTAAAATTGTCTGTCTTATATCCATGGAAACTGCTTTTCATGCTTTGCTGTTTATTCCTGTTATTCATTCCCTTATAAGTTCTTGTTGCATTAAGAAAAAACCTACTAAACTTGTTCCAGAGGAATTCGATTTACTTTCAAATAAAAATGAATCCACTTAATAAATAGACAGAATTTCATTTATATCTTCTTAAATTTTTTCTTTGTTGCATTCTTTTATTCTAATTTGACTTAATGGAATGCATTTTTGATTCTCGATATCATGTGGATTCTATTAATGCAATTATGACAAATTTTTTAAACATTTTAGAAAATAAAATAAAAATAATTATATGATTTGATATCACTTTTGTATTCATCAAGAAGTGTTAGAAATTAAACATAAAAAAAAACAAATTATTGATTGTATATAATCACGTAGCAATTAAATATTCTAAAAAGGTCATTTAAATTTTATTATTAACATTATAAATAACAATTATTGTTTATGAAATTTTCGAATAAAATACAGGCTTATATGTTACGCCAAATAGGCAATAATTCGTAATGCTAAAATAAATCTTTGCCTAATGTTTTCTAAGCCGTAATTCAAAGGGCAAAACAAATATCTGTATCTTATTGGAAAATATAAAAGACGATTTCATAAAATAGACAAGTCAAAAGTAGCCTATTTTAGTAAAACAGGCAGAAATTTTGCTTAATTCGTGAAATGGGCACATCAACTGCCAATTTCACCTTCTTAATGGTTTTATACTTCCTAATGATGTTTATTACGTACAGTACGTGTTAAATTAAATGCTAGAATAAGACTTAAGCATATATAATGAAAAGTAAGTGCTCACAGCAAAAAGTTAAAAAAACTCCAAAACAAAATGAAAGTTCTTCAAAATACCTAAGTTTCTAATGTTGCTCTAATATCACTTGAAGCGATTGCCAATTTCATGAATTTGTCTGCATTATTTTCAAATCTTCAAATCGGCACAGCAACTGCCGATTTCACAAATTACTCAAGTTTTTGCCTATTTACGAAATGAGCAATATTACCGGGTTAGGTATACATGCATTCGACGGGCAGTGACGAGGCATTTAAGGTCTACCTCTCTGGGAAACCCGGAATCGAGTATCCGGAGAGTAACCCCAGGAATGTTTTGCTGGCAGTCTGTCTTGGGTGTGTTCCAACCCCTCACCACCCGGCCACCCCATTGTGGGCCTAAAGATTCTCTCAGTGTTCACATGATGGGAAACAAAAATAAATAGATAAATAAAATAAAATGCTCATAGAATTTTTATAAATTTGTTGAAGTTGATAATATTTACAATATTTTTTATCTTTCAGAATATTAATTAAAAAGTAAACGATACTCAATATAAAATTAGATAACAAAAAAAATCATTTAAAAATGTATCTTAGAGAGCATTTCATTTATATATTGTATTAAAATAAAGTGTAAAAAATTCTAATATGGCATTTGTATTCTCTAGATATCACAGGAGTTCTCTGTCTCTATAATGTAAACAGTTTATTTGTTAATTTAATTTTTAAATATATAAAATATAACGTTTCAGTTTTATTTGCATCATTTTTCTGTATTTTTTTAAAATTAAAAGATTTGAAATCATAAAATAGATGACAATGATTACAAATGTGGAAATTAACAGACAGTTTCTTTCTAGACGTCATATCATAGACAGAAAGATAATAATTGTGCATTGTCATACAAAAATTTTGCTTTTTCGTAATTTCTGGGATTCACGAAACAGTGAAAATATTCGTTTAGTTAAAGTTCGGTAGGAGAATGGTAAAAATATTATTTTTGTTTTTATTTTCATTACTTTGTTTTTCAAATTTGCGTAATTATATAATATTCTACCATATTTTCGCGAAATGACCTGCATGCCGGTCTATCCCGGGTAATCAGGAAATCAGATATTTCCGTATTTTACCGTACACTAAAGCCGGCATGCCAGTTTAAATGAGGTTATACATTATTGTACAGTACATCCCTCTCTAGAAGGCGCATTAAAAAAATGAACGAGCATTTATTCCAAAACTGTGAAATTGTCAGCATTACATCAAAAACTACAATTATATGTTAAATTTCTTTGTTTTGTTTTCTTTCTAAGAACGTAAAATACTCTTACAATTTAAAAATTGCTTGTTTTGTGTGTACTGTATTATATTAGTATTCGATTCAAAAACGCAAAAATAAACATATTAAATTTAAGAAACTTTCTGTAAATTATTTCAGCTTACACCGATTAACCTCGGCTTTGTGTGAAATTTAAGAGGAAGGTATTATTTTTAAGGTCAGGGTATATGGTCAATGTAGCCCACACTGACTAATTACTCACTACTACTAATTTCAATAAGTCATTAATTGTTTTATTGTCTTGTAAGCGAAAACTCTCTTCTCGATTTTAAGTCAGTCAAATCACAATGTCATTATTTCATTGTACTCGGAAGAATAAACTAGTTTTGTTAGATATGATTACTTTTATAGTTTAGTCGTAGTTTAACTGGCATGTCGGTAACCCCGAGATTTCCGGCATGCTAATCTCCTTCGTTTTTATGCGGCATGATGGTCATTCCGCTAAAATACGGCATAAACTTGGTTTATTAATGAAAATTGTGAATTTTATATTAAAATTAATAAACCTTTCTTACAACTAACATTTTCGACTTTTATTTTCTTTATTTTGCCTAATATTTTCAATAAAACTATTTTATACAGAAAAATGCCAATGTAAAAATTTTAACGATAGAACAAATTATTTAGAAATTACAAGTATTATTTGGCAATTTGCAAATAATTTTTATTGATCTATCTGGAAAAAAAAGTTTCTGACATTTATAAACTGGGCGGTTTTGGAAATATTGTCCAGTGGATAAAATATACAAAAGTCTAGCTTAATAATTTGATCACTTGATATAGTTTTTCACGTCGCATCGCAACTTTATTCACTTTTTACGTGATTTTTTGATTATCACTCGAATATTTTAAGAAGTCTTTAATGTTAAAAGTGCCATGTCATAATGAAATAATGCAGTATAAGATTTATGTCGTATTATTTTGTTGAAATGCAGTTTCTGTTTAAGAATTTTATCCTTGTTCCATACAATAATTCAGGGACGAGGCTGTAGTAAACAGATATTCATTTCTTATTTCTAATATTCATAAGTGAAAATGTGATTTAAACTTTGGGAAAGAAAATGAAAATAAATCAGTTTGTATTAAACAAATTCCAGCAAATAAAATCAGAAATTGAATCACAACAAACTGATAAAACTGTTGGCAAAATTGCACACAATAAGGTGACAGTTCATCACTATGCAAGAGCACTGTTCGAATTCAATTCTGATCTTCATAATTTATAGTTAGAAGTAGGGCTCTAGACATTCTTCTTTATTCTTTACTCATAATAGCAGATGTCATTGGAACGCCGGATGTCGAGCAGTTATTTGTTTTGATTTGATACCGGGTTCTCCCAGAGTCTACCGCTCTAGGGAATCCGGGATCAAATCCGAACGGGTCGAAATACCGAGGAATTATTAGGGAAGTGGTTTATCCGAATACGTCTGGTCTTGTCTCTGTTCTTCCGATCGTCCCAGGGAGGGCCAGGCTGAATCTATAATGAGCTTGCAAAAAAGACCCACGTTGTGCCCGAAAAAGCAGAAAGAAGTAAAAAAAAAAAGCAAACAGAAGACTTCCTTGTGAGTCAGAGCACATTATTATGCCTGATAGCATAGCCTAAATAAGTTGATTCATTGCTTTCACTAAGTATTCAATTTGACAATTTTTAAAAATCAACATTCTTGATGAAAAAATTCTATAATTACAGTGAATGGTGTTTTATTCATATACGCCAACGCGACACATAGGCGATCTGCCGAGAGAGAAATGTTATCCTCGAAATTTTTTAAGGGAACTGATTCCTATTTAGGTGTCAATAAAGTGAAAAAACCCAGAAAAATTCACGTGTATAGTTCGTTGCCAGGCAGGAACTCAAACAACTCCCAGTGTTCGGCGGTTTCATTTACTGGTGGGCTGTAAGAATAAATGTGAAAAAGAAATACATATTTTAGAAATATTTCTGACTTCTGCCGGGTGAAGTTAGTGACAGAAAATAAATTCTATTTGAAACCACGGAACCATCGTTAAGGTCTCACCCTTCTCCGTGGGTTTTTTGTTTGTCCAGAAACCCCGTAATGACTAGGCAGAATCGGCATTACGGGAAAAACTGGAATCGTGCCATTTCCATAACATAAACATTGCAAGTAAATTCTAAAGTTTGCTTAAAAGCATTATTGCAGATTTAAATACTAGCAAAACTCTTGTTTCTGATGGTTCTCTTCCAAGCTTCTCCGCATAATATCCTAATATTCTATGGTGAGTTTCTTTTGGAAAATAATGTTTATAATATGTATTATATTGACATTGAATATATTACAATACATTTCTATGGAGTTAAATTATGTTAGCGATAAAACTATAGAAAATGATGACTGATGATTCTGTACTTTTTGAATTCGGGAAAGATGAGAATAATTATTTTCCTTTAGATTCCTTTTCGTCATCAAGAATTGTGATATTCAGACAGACTTTTCAAATTCGAATCTAGTAATTTTTTTTGACCCAACAAAATTGATAGGAATAATCATTTCACGCAACAATAATAATAGGATGAAGGAACTCATTTAAGCATTTTAAACTAAGTCCATACCTGAAATAAAAGTAAAATCATAAGTAATTAATCAAAAATATGCTAACTATGGACAAATACTTCCCTTTTGGACTACTTGAAACCTGAAAATTAAAAATTTTGAAATTAAATAATAACTCTTACAATTATCAAAAATTGGATTTATACTTATCTTTTAGTTATGAAGGCATCGCAATATTTAAACTATGACACATATAATAAGAAATTGTCGCAGCGGATATTAAAACTAAAAACGAAATTTTCACGATAAAACAGTTCTAATAAATGGGATTCATTGTTACTTTATATTAATTTTTTAAAAAGCATTGTTTCAATTCAATTGTTTTTCTAATTACGCGTTTTTTAAAATAAAATTACTTAAATGTAACATAAATAAATTAAAATAAATATAATAGAAAATATAAAAATATTATTTTATTAATTTTATTAATCAAAATATTATATTGTTTCTGTTTCCGAAT